CAAAGAAGGTTTCGACGAGTGTATTTTGTCGTCATCGAGAGGATACGTTACACTATACCGTCGTAATGGACGTATTAAATTTTGATTCAATGATAAAMCATCGACACCGAAAACAATATTATTCCGGACGGGGACAGCGGTGAAACCACCGTCTATGCAACTATTTCTAAGCGTGTTTTATATAGTTATATATATTTGTATAACAATTAGTAGTACAATTGTATACAGTAAACCTATACGGTAAGCCGAACTATAGGCTGACAAAAACAACATCGCATTAATTATATCACAGACAATAGTGATCATTAAAATATTAAATCATACGTACACACGTTATTGTCATTAACTATTATAAATCAATACCGATGTTTGACGTGAATGCTGCAAGCAACAGAAACGTGTTGTTAGTAGCACAGCTTAAAATTACCTGACATTTTGGAAATATCATATGGATGACGGTATAAAAAAAAAAAAAGGTAAATATACGTAACGGCGAAATACAACAGGGGCGTCTCCAGACCTTTGTTTGTGAGGTGTGTGTGTGGGGGCAGGGGCGGCTTTTAAGGGGGGCATAGGGGCCATGGCCCCCAAGACATTTTACTCTTATTTACCAGATCCCTATTTTTTGTTTCATTAATATTAATATTTTTATATATTTGTTCATGTATTATRTAAATAGTAAATACACWAATTATTTCTATATTATATTAAAACTTTCTGTCTAATTTGAATATAGCGTAAATTTATACATACAAAATAATACTGGCCCTCCTCCAAGCAAAGAACTAAAGCCGCCACTTGTGGGGGGGGGCGAAATAATAACAAAATTAATATTTATTTACATGTTAAAACTAAAAGGCACAACTGCAGAGCATAAAACGATTGAGAATATTATACCTTTGTAACAACTCGATTGAGCATGAATATTTTATTGTACATCCATATTATATAATATATATATAATAGTTATAAATTATAATAATATATTATATTTTCTAAAAATTCTATGAATCTATGAATACGTGTTTATGATGACAATATATGAGCAAATTTGATATAATATTATAATTTCATGTAAAAAACAAAATGTCAAGTACTTTAATATAAATAGTAAAATTCACCAATAATAATTATTGTACTACGTAAGTCGGTCCACCTTATGGGKGGATGGAGGAGCGGTCACCGCCTTCGCTCCCCCCACAGGAACGCGCCCYTGAAGTACGACTAAAATACAGTATTCTGCAAATATTTAAATTTCTCGCGGTATTTAGTAATTTTTTTCTCCAATAATTGTAAGAAAAATATTGTGGAAGTTGGGTATTCATAAGTAACAACGAAACAATTTTGCTACAACAAACCACATAGATTTTCAGTAATGAAGAATAATATTGTTCTACTCCAAAATGTCATAAAAGAWAGAAAAAAATTGATTTAGTATATAAGACCGGTATCGTATATATTTAAAACGATTTTTTTTTCATCTATTAAATTTCAATTGTTTCAACAAAATCTTTGTCGAAGCAATGTTTTATGTATATACATATAAATTATTTAATTAACTACATAATTAGGTAATATAGAGTAAAAAAACAATTTATGAATGATTTTAATTTAGCAAAATGTACTTAAATCATGAGTTGATTTAAAACTCTAAAAGTGGTTCATTGTCGTGTTGTTCCTGTACGTAGAAAATTTTGTATTTGTATAGGGTTGGAGCTTACACTCTGCAGTATTCATTATTTAACTGAACTCGGAAAGTATCCACATAAAAATATAAACAATTTTAGCTGAGAGGATTCGATATAATGATTTTCTATCTTTGCCTAACACACACGCGCGGCATACGATTTTAMACTTTTTTTTGTTGCCACATGCACCAATTGATCTASAACAGGGTTCGGCRAGTAATTTCTATTGGAGTCCGGAAGATTAAAATAATAAATAAATGAGGTTCAGCGAAAAAAATGTTTGCCAAACCTTTATGTTTTTATAATAGTAATATGAAGAAAAAATGTTAAGGCATGTCAACGGTCCGGAGGCTTTCTGCGTTCCACGGTCCGGATTCGGACCGCGGTCCGCCTGCAGTTGCCGACCTTTGATCTAGAATGAAGATCGCTTCATATTCTAAAATTCGCTTCAAATTCTAAAAACAATTTGAATTTCTCGTCAAAACTACTCTTATTGATACCGACTTTACCACATTTTTTATACTATCCCCCGAAATTCCTAAATACTTAATATTAAAAAACTGGTATATTGAAATATTTGGAGGAGTTAGGTTAGGTTAGGTTAGGTTAGGTTAGGTTAGGTTAAAAAGTTAAAGGCTAAAGTTAAATCAAAAATAAAGAAAAATCGATCTCAATAAGTAGACTTGATGACAAATCCAAATTAATCTATTTTTTTTTTTTTAGAATTCTTAATATCGCTTCACTACCTATTAATTAAATCTTTATCAAATGTTATGTTTTCCGTGGGATAGACAGAGACAGATGTATATATATTATAYACCGATACCCACAAGGAAATAATACAAAAATAATTTTTCGTTACAATATAAGGTAAGTACATATAAATATTTGTTAGATCTTAGTAGGTCYCAGATGTTTACTGCATTTTTTTTTCTTTTATCAAATTTAATGKTAACCTGTGTACAGATTTAATTCATGTTCTACTGAATTAAATAATAAACTATTTTTATTTTGCATATTTTTGTACATTTTTATAAAAAAAACAATTCAAATTAACGAAATATACAATTAATTCTATAATTTGTATACTATATAAGTTTTATAGGTGGTACACTTCAATCTACTACACATTTACGCAAAATATATAATATATATTTATTATTGTGTTTGTTTGGGACGGACGACGGTACTTTATTAGATGCCTATAATGTATATTATAATAGAAAAATATAATTTTGTATACGGTGACGACCGGACAACGTATTAGTACGACTTAAATTGCCGTGTCGGTCAAAACGTGTATTATATGTAAATTTAAAAAAATTATTTTAAATTGTAGTAAAAAAATAATAAATGAAACAACTAGGTAATAAAAATTAAATATTTATGTTTTATGAAAAATAATGAATTTTTGTGCATACTTTGGTGGTTTTTTTTTACTAAAAATGAATATTTTATAAATTCTATTCCACCGAATTWAAAAAAGCTCGACTCCCTTTCGACCAAAATGTCCAAAATCGTACTCTTCTCTTATTTACAGCCAATTCACTTTTCAACAAAATTTAAAATAGGTCAATTCCCTTTTAAAATGTAGGAAATTATTCAAAATATAACAATATATATACATTAATATTATTCTTTGTGTTAATACGTCACAATATATATAATATATTGTATAAAAATAATAAAAAATTTAACGATTTTCATTAAATATTTTCAAATCAGTATATAGAATATAGATAAGTTATGATGATTATTTAAATGAATACCAATTTAATTTACACATCTGCTAATAAAAAAGGGTTTATGTAAAACTATTATTGGAATTTTTGGAACATTTATAAGTTCTAATATACCCACCAAAAAAAAGAAAAGAAAAAAAATAAGACAAGAATTTAAAACTTAAACATTCTTCGCTTTGTTTATAGAACACCTATTTATAATGATGGCTGTCA